TTTTTTTTTTTTTTTTTTTTATATATACGACATTTACATCGAAGACTAATTAAATTTATTATTTTCGAAACATGCGTTTAATCGTATCTCATCTCGTTTTTTATTTGACGTTGTAAGACTGAAGGCCATTGCGTCTCTTAATATATTATCGTGTACGTGTATTTTTCGGTACTTTTAAAAGTACTTAAACCACCTCGGTCGATCTTTTCGAAAGATTATATAATACTATATTTAATCTTAGTATCTCTCTCATTGTCCGTTGAAATTTCGAGATTTCACCGAGTGTTCCGTTCTTGTGTAGGCTTGTGTACGCGCATCCATACTGACATATTTTCTTTTCTAACTTTTTTTTCGCTTCAAAATACATTATTATCAAATTCGTTCCTCGATTGATATTCGATTATTACATATTATTGGCCTTTGGTACGAGCATAAAAATTACATTCGAAATAATTTTATTTTTATAATTATTTTTTTATATTAGACTACATTTACTACGTGTACATTATTACGTTTCTTCATCCTCTTTTTTCATTATTCTTCCTCCCTCTTCTCCTTGCCTCGCCTCCTCCCCTCCCCTCCTCTCTCCCTTCTCATTTTAATATCTTATATAATTCGCGATATCGTGTTTCTACTCGGAATATGAATTCCGTTGTTGCTACGTTGACAATGAAGAGACACGAAACGACTGTTATTCAGTAAATCAAATCAACATTAAGCAATTCTTCGAATAATTTCTCTCTCGAATAAAAATTTGCCATTGTTAAAAACTACGATTAATATAGAAACTTATTGATGAAATCAACTTGTTACTTAGTACGTGGTACGAAATTCATCACTGAAAAGTCTGAGAAATTAAAATAAAAGTACAGGAAAAAAAAAAAAAAAAAAAAAAAAAAAAAATTTTTCCCCGAAGGGCAAAAAAAAGAAACTGTAAGAACTAACTATTTGTACAAAGTTAAAGGGGGAAAAAAAAAAAAAAAAGGAGAAAACAATTTTAGTTCAAATAATCTATTCGTGGAATAAGCGAAATAAACTTTGATAGCTTTGATACAATAATTTTAATATCATTGATGGAGTTGTTATTCTTCGATTAAATCTTTAATTGCATACACACACAAATACATGTATGGAAAAAATTAAGAAAAAAAAAAAAAAAAAAAGAGAGAGAAGAAATATAATTCTGCACAAAATGCAGTTTCGCCAAGTCGGTCGACAACTTCGCGTTCAAAGTTCCAGACTAAAATACAATATGTTACGGGAAACGAAAAGTTAAATGATTGTATAAACATATTACTAGTTATAAGTTAGTAGCATTAAATTGTATTCGATGAATTTACCAATTCAAAAAAGTCCACGATATTCATATATTTATAAGATAACGATCGTAACGTTATTTACGTTCTTTTGTATCATTCCAAAAGTTTTGTGTATGTTGTACGTTAGTTGCGTGTCTATTGTTAGTGTTTATAATTTTTTATATCCCAGAGTGTATAGCAATATGTGGTTTGTTGTATTCTTCTTCTTAAAAAGCATGCAACTCGTATTTTCGGAGCAATCTTTCCTAATACAACAAAATACAATCGGCCATTATCGCTCCGTGCAATACCGAGACGAGTTTGTTACACTGTGCGTAAGATCATCTCGAGTTCATACATTCGGATAAGATTGTAGTCGTAACGATTACAGTCCGATTTAATTCCGAGAGAAATATGAATTAAAGAAACAAAGAATAAGTCAAATATTAAATATCGTTGAAAGAATGGGAAATTATTTTGTGATACTTTCTTGCCAGAAAGAATACAACAGGCTGAAGTGAATATAATAAATGCAATGTTACTGATTAACACCTATACAAATTAAATATTGTGTAATAGAAAGTCTGTTGACAAGGAGAAATAAGGTGTACATTATGTATTGCCCTGTGGCATCAATAAACTAATAATTAACGTAATGTTCTCATTTAACTGCTTTTTCTTTAATATATATATATATATTTTTTTTTCTTATGCGAAAAACAAACAGAAAAGAAGGAAACAACATTTTGTTTTTGATAGCAACTTAATTTTATGTTATTCGATCAAGATATACAAGACAAATTATTATATACAAATTGATATTTTTTTTAATGTTCATTATGATATCGTTTTCATTATGATATCATTGTTAAAACTTTCTAATTTTATATCACATTGGTTGGTTCGTTTGAATTACCCGTGGGAGGACTTCTAGTCATCATAGATGCAACCTGAAAAACGATAATGATTATGAATCTATCGATTCGTGATATGATATCGATAATTGCAACGAATA